CATTTTGACCACGGTGAAAGAAATACGTTAAGGTGATGACTCTCTGTCTCGCGCAGCGACCACATTATGTTCGGCGCACCGAGCGCGCTTCACTCGCACGGGGATAGATGGCGCCCAGGTATAGAGGGGCTTGTGAAGGCTTGTATAGAGGGCTTCTGAAGGAAATTATGCATTCTTTACTCGGTCCCCGTGTACTTTGTAGTGAAGTGATGGATTTATGTTGGCGGCACTGGCACTGGATTGCCTTTTTCCCCGTGCGGTTCCTGTTTTTTCTTTTTTTTTTTTTTAGACGAGAACATTTTGATGATGTCTCAACGTGAAAATAATACTCGTATAAATATAAAACTTCCCGGCATAATCTACTGGGCCTTCAATGATTTAGAGTAATTTAGAGTAAACACCTAGGTCGTACTCGCATGTTTTGTCAATCAACATCTTTGGTAACAGTTCCGTAATTTGTTTACACACATTTCGTGGCTTTATATGAGGTCGAGTGATTTTTCACCCCTGCTCCTACCTTATTAAAAAAAATTATAATAATGTTACATAGTGGGGCCTAAATAATTCTTTACATGCGGATAAAGGTTTTAGCGTTACAAATGCTTTATACATAAAATAAACATGGAATATACAAACTTTGTGAACAGAAAAAATTCCTATTTATGATGACATAGTGACTGAAACGATGACACAGTAGGATGACATACTGATTGACATGATGACACAGTGACTGAAAGTCAAACAATAGTAGCTCTCGCAATGTGGTGGCACTCCATCTTACAGGTAAAGAAATACCTGACAAGTATTTTTGCTTTAAAATGTAAATAAAAACTAAATTCGCTGCATACTACCAAAGAACGCCACCTCCTACATCTTGTGTTTCTCGCCCATGCCCTTAAACTAAGAGCGCTGCTTTGCTGATTTCTTTATTTCTTGAGCTTGTTTGTTGATACTCATCGCAATATGCTTACAATGTTTTCGCATTCGCATGCTGAAGTAGTAGTGGAGCAGCTGGGCAGTTGTTTCTTCTTTGTGTTCAGCGCATGGAAACGTTATTGTGCATGTGTCAAGAACACTGTCGATTGTGTCCCAGTAGACACTCGGGTGGCTTTTATTTTCCACGAAGAACTGTTCCTCTTTCTTCAGTAGCTGGAAAAGGTTCTTGTTGGGGTGTATAAGGCTTCCTCTGTTCTTCACGTTTGTCAGGGCTGCTTCAGTAGAAGTGTTCTTGTCGGTGCTGAAAGCTGATCGGCATGCAGGACAACGTGTAGCTTTTTTTTTTTTTTTCACGCTCAAAAACTTAGTTACATAAGAAAGCATGCAGTCCACAGCCTTGGTTTCTTGAGTTTTTTCTGTCCAGACATCTTCGCAGTCCCAGTCTTCGACAGAAATTAGACTGTCAAGCTTGGTCTTCACTTGGTCAACGAGATGAGGAGACTAGTAACTTGCGATCGGCCCTCGGGATTGCACGACGCCATAGGTCTAGGCGAGCGCCATTCAATGGACCTTTAAACAAGGACACTCGCTCTGCGCAGTTCCGGTACCCCGCATTGCAGTTGGGAACGAAGCACGTCTTTCCCATCCTTATAGCATACCTTCTTCTTCGAGTTAAGGCTCATCTTCGTGCACGATGGTGGCACCGGTGATTGACACAGCAACAAAGCAAAACATGAGGCCAGCCACTGACCGCACACCACCACCACACTGCGAAAAAGGTGAGCAAGCTACGCCCCCGACACCGTGGCCGCCGAGGAGAGACCTCAAACTCACGATGCTCACACCTCAGCGCCCTCCGCGGCGGTGCGGAACAACTACACCTCGTTTCACCTTATGTTGTACCGCTGCGAAAGCTAGAAGCGCGAGCTCATAGCGTTGGCAGCTGCTCTTAATTCACGAGAGCTTGTGCCGCCGGGATGTGCCACAGAGCAAGGAGCTCGCGCTTGTAGCCTTTCCTGCGGTACATCATAAAATGATACAGAGTATACTCCATGTTCGAGGCTAGCTCCGAACGCTCCCCGCGTGAAGGACGGCCAGAGTCACCACCTAAATGTATTTCTTCCAACCGTGGTTTTGACAAATGCACATCACATTCTGCACTAAGCCACTGAAGATCAATTAGCCTTTTTTTTCTTTCGCAAAAAGAACGAAATTTGTGGCACGCGCACATACTCGATATTTGCACCGCCAAAAAGACGCGTTAACAAACCTGCCGCCGGTTTTAGGGCTGGGGCGGAGGGACGGCCGCCTGAAACAGCCTCGTTTTCATCCTAACTCGAGTACGCGTGTATTGCGACAAAGGCAGGTGAGCAACTCGAAAAAGAACCAAACAGTATGTCAGTATAGCAAGTTTATTCCTGAGCACGTCAGTCGAACTCTACAGCTGGGAATGCCCTTCACCCAGCGAACATCATAAGGTTCTTTGGCTGAACCTTCTAGATTCGTGAACAGACGAAATGTAAACCCGGAGGTTGCTAACACGCGAAGATAGCAAAAGAGAGAGGGGAATCCCAGATTTACCAGCTCTTCCTGAAGCACAACACTGCCTTTCCTTCGAGCGCGTCAGTAGGACGATTCTTCAGCGTCGTCGGAGATATATACCCAAGGAAGCGCGGGAAAACTGCAGATGAAAGCCTCGAAAGGCAGCTACCAGTAAAGTGCAGCGACTAATGAAAACAAAACAATAAAGCATAGGAAACAAAAGCAGTCGTGTAGTTGGTCGTTAAAGTAACGCGAAAAGTAACTCGTCATCTTTTAGGTAATGTAACGTGTTCCTTTTGAGAATCGGTAACGAGTAACATATTTAGTTACTTTTTGAGAAGGTAAGGAGTAACGGTGTTTAGTTTATGATTATAATGCAATTAAATGCAAAGGTGCAAGCGAGCTGGACAAGAATGACGAAAATAATCCCTGGAGAAGGGGAACGAGAGGGACAAAGGACAAACACAAATCTCCAAACACAGCTTTTTTTTAATAACGGACACATGTCTGCTTCCCTGTGATGTTTTTTTTTTCTATATTAAATGAATTTTGCCTTGACGTGCAATTGTACTGTAGATTAAGACACTTTACAGCGGCAGCTGTTACGGGATCTTCCTACCACTGGAAATGACGTCCGTTCTTGACGTTGTAGCTGTAGTAGTAGTGGATTTTGTCGATGTGCAGGGCGTCCGTCATCCATGTGTTCAAATTCTTGATAAAGGTTGCCGGCCACCAGCCGGAATCAAACCTGGGTCGCCGTGTGCAAAGCGGAGGTTTTACCCCTAAGCTACGCCATGCCACGCCGTTAACAACCCACTCTACACTGAAGGCCCCTTTGCAGAGTTGCGTTTGAGAGCGTTTGCACCGCGTTGCGTTGCGTTGCGCCCAGAAACAAAAGCGAGTAACCGGCACATCTGTGCTTCCCATGAAGCGTGGAATCCAATTCAAGGAATAGCTTGGCATGCGACATAAGAAGCAAGAATATCCTGGTTTCTTGCAGCCGCTACGCAGTTAAAACGCACTCAAACGCTCTCAAACGCAACTGTGCGTAGGGGCCTAAAGGTTTGTTTTTCTTTTTTCTAGTTTCGGAAGCCCACAGCGTACCCTGTGGACAAAAAAAAAAAAAGAAAAAATATAGCCGATTACAAAATGCCTTCGTAGCACTGTCGATGCCAAGGGGTTGTTAAAGAAAAAAAAAAAAAAGAAAGGTTATGCCGGGAGGTGGGATTTCACGCGCCCCGGAAAAAAATAATATAAACGAGAGTTGGGAACAAAGCGGATGTATATTTTGTTTGGAACGCTTTTATAGGGAGTATTCACTGGCGGCCATATCCGTGTGCGCTGCTGCTGAGCGCGTGCCGACGGCGAGCTTCCGCAGTCCTTTTGGAGCGTGCATTTAGCACCATCAAAGTTGCCGGTCTTAGCAGGCTATTAATGCGAGCTCGTTCTGAGCATGCGCTCTAAACATCGCCCTCAAATATGGCGTCCAGTGAATACCTCCTATAGAAACACGGTATGTGAACGCGACGCCGATGTCCAACGACTTCAACTTGACTTGTCGCAATTATCGCTGTGACTTGTAGCGATTGTAGGGATTCGCGTACCGCCGCCGATTCGCCGTTTCCCACGTGGTCCGTCAACAACCCGAGTCCAGCCCGGTTATCCCGCTCCCAGTTTATTGGTACAATAAAACAACGCTACAAGACACTCAATCTAAACTACAAATACAAGCGACATTAGACAAATATTTACAAACGCATCTTAAGCCAAAAACTAAACACAAAGAAGGCCCCCAGGCATCGGGTCCCGCGATATCCTAGATCCAATCGCCACCCACCTGCCTGCGTCTCGGCCTCGTCCCGTCCGAAGTTCTCAGAGGCCTCAGGCCTCTCGCCCCCTGACAAACCGAGTCTATATCGATCGATGGGCGAAGAGGTTTCTCCTCGCCCGCCACGGGTAAAGTCCCTCGATGTTTTTTCACTAAAAAATATCCAGGGACGTTAGCTACGGGTGCCTGCAGCGCCATCCAGTGGCTAGGAGAGAAAGCGGCACGTCGGGAGCCGAATTCGAGATCCCGATCGACCCCGCGGCGACACGACCATGATCGTGCCTGAGGCAAGGCAGCTACATAGCTGCCTCGCGGCCAAGATTGGCAGAATGGTTTGATGGACGCCCTCGTGAATGCACGGAGCGCCATAGACTGTACTGTAAATTAAAACAGGACTGCTAAATTTTTTTTTATTTCGTGAAACAATAGGAATTTCTAGCCCCTCACATCCATCATAATGAAAAACAAACGCGGACAAATGGAGAACTCCAGAGTATGATGGTGCGGGGATATGCTACAAAAATAAAAGTAAAGAAAATGATCTATTTGGTATGCAAAAAGGCCCTTAAAATCTTAAAATTTAGCTGTAATAGCTTGGTTTGTGGAGGTGAAACTTGCCCATTTACACAAACCAGGCTATTACATCCCCCCCCCCCCAAAAAAAAAGAAGAAATTGTTACAATGGCACATAGTTTTATGCCCGACTTTGGGTATTGCAGTATGCAGGATGGGCGCCTGGCTCGGCAAGTGCCCGTGGCGCCTTAACAACGCGTCTCGACAGCTCCCCAACAAGCTGACTGAACACGAGCGCATCCACGTTTTGGCCGATGAGCCCCAGTAAGAACACGTCCCCCACAGAGAGGGACTTCACGAGCGCGCCCAGACGCCCACTGTCGGGAAAGCGCAGCTGCAATAGCTGACAGCGCAGGGGCGCATGAGCGATCAGGATCACCCGGTAGCAGAGTGTCAAGATGCCGACGACGAGCAGTCCCGCGTACCAAAACCAGAGAAACAAGAACAGTTTCTCGTTGAGCACGTTCAGAGGCAGCACGCAGATGGCCTCGCGGTTCTCGATCGCACCCGAATCGCCGTATTTTGCGAAGCTACACATGGCTATTCGAGGGAACATCACCACCATGGGGTTAGCGAGCTCGGGACGTGCCTTGCGCTGCCAACGTACAACGTCCGAGCCGAACAGAAAAAATCCGCCGCCCAGGACCAAGTCCGTCAGTGAGATCTGGACGACGACGTTCACCACGCAGAGCAGCTCGCACCAGAGGTACCTAGAGAAGTACCAGTTGTTTCGATTCAGGTTGAGAACCAGGAAGTCGACGAGCTGTGTCTGCATGTCGCCCCGGTCTTGTAACATTGAAGACTTCACGTCCAGGGATGAAACTATGGCCGGTACCTTGCCCCCTTCCCAAGCTTTCCAAAGCCAGCGCGGGAAGTAGAACGAGATGGCCTGGCAGAAAAGCAGAAAACAGACCCACTGGTAGTACACGTGATGCTTACGGTCCCCTGAGCCGGTTATGCTGTGGCCGGCTCCGGGATAGACAACCTCTTCGCGTTTGGAGAGGTTGAAGAGACTTTTGACGCTGTACGTGGATTCTATCCAACAGAAGGAATCCACGACGCTCTTTGGCAGTGTGGGACAGAAGCAGTCTATGGGAGAGCCCACATATTCTTTGGCGGTGAGCAGCATGCAGAAGGCCAAGAGAAGGGCCACGGTCGCATTGGTGTACAGTCTGAAAACGTTACCATCGATGTGAACCTTGCGCAAGCTGACCAACTTTCGAAGATTTCCGAGGAGGTGAAGCATGACTCCAGGAAAGCAACCGTAGATGAAGCAGCTGCGGTTTGAACGCGAATGCGATAGTGTTTTCTTCTTTCTCTAACTTTGAGCGGTAAGAGCGAACTCCGGGTTTCCAGCGTCCCTGTCCAGCGCGTACGCTCGTGCAATGCAAGCATCGCTCGGAGCAACGTGCAATTGTGCTTGAAGCTTCCGCCTCGGATGCACTAGGGTGCCTCAATGACCTTCTGTTTAGAGTGATGCCACCTTTTGTAGTACCCGATGCCGACAGCACGCGCTCACGGGGAAAATACAAAGAAGTCAACGAAAACAAAATGTCGCCATAGCACAGTCAGCGCCACAGACGCGTGTGGGGACACGCTCTTTCACGCGCTTCTGAACAAAAAATAAATGTAAAAGTGGGAACAAAATGGCCAGATGTCTCCACCCTAAGCAAAACGCACATGAAGGCACCCTAGGATGCACATAAGATGAGACACACCATAGTGTTGCATTCTAGTACACTGTAATAGTTTCATCATCACTGCGGCGAGATGTTTTGGATGCGCCCTTCCCTCTCGTGGCGTATTACCTTAGGAACAACAAGTTCGATGGTGTTTGTGTAACAAGTTAGTGGCGCCCCCCTCCAGTCCGCCCGTCTGCGGCCGCCTGGCTCGGCGGGCAACATTGTTCACGACACCAATAAACGCCGTTGAGCGCACGTGCTCCGGCCAGTCATCGTCCACCCTCACAACCAGGCTGCGTGTCGTCTCTTCTCGGCGGGTGCTTCGGCCCCCTTCGTCCACGTTCTAGAAAGATCGTGACACTGGCGACGAGGAACCGTGGCACTGGAGGCTACCAACGTGCACGGTTCGGCCCACGCCGCCGAGAGAGTCGCAACACCGCCGCCCGCTCCTGTCGCCATGCCGCTCTACGGGAGGCTCGAGCCCTTCGACGGAGATGGGTCCGCCTGGCCAGTCTACGAAGAACAAGTCCACGTGTTCTTCCGGGCGAACGACACGCCCGAGGGGAAACAACGGGACATCTTCCTGGCCAGCTGCGGGACCCGAGTCTTCAGCCTCCTGCTCGACCTCCTCAAGCCGGCCACGCCGCACGTTAAAGCGCTGGGTGAGCTGCTCGCCACGCTGCGCTCGCACTTCAGCCCGGCGCCGTCTACGCTTATGGAGCGGTTCCGCTTCAACAACCGGAGCCGCCAGGACGGGGAGACCCTCGGGCAGTTCGTCGCTGCGCTACGAGGGTTAGCGAGCACCTGCGCCTTCGGCGACCAGTTGGACTCGCTACTCCGGGACCGGTTCGTCTGCGGCATCAACAACCCTGCCATGCAGACGCGACTCCTGGAGCTCCCCGACCCCTCGCTGGACGACGCGGTGAAGGCAGCGCTGGCGATGGAAGCAGCAGCGAAGGACGCCAGCGAGATAGCACGTGCGGCCGGCTCACCGTCGACGGAAGCGGCGGTGCACAAGATGGCGACAAGGAGCGGTGCCTGCAGCCGCTGCGGTGCTGCCCACTCCCCCTCACAGTGCCAGTTCGTCCACGCACAATGTTTCACGTGCGGGAGAACTGGGCACCTCGCACGTGTCTGCCGAGGGGGGAGGACGAGCGGCGGCCAGCAGCAGCAGCAGCCTGGTTCAAGCCCGGGTTCCAGCCAAGCCCGCGGCCAGGGTGGTCGTCGCAAGAAAACGCGGCGCGGACGAGCGGCACCAGGCCTGGGTTCGTCGTCAGCTAGGGTCCACGTCGTGGCCGACGAGCCGCAGATCTTCGACGTGTGGCATTTGAATAAACTTTCGTCTGTGCCACCTTACTTGGTGTCTGTTGAGATCTGCGGCCACCCCATCACCATGGAGCTGGACACGGGGGCCAGCGTGTCGGTCATGCCCGGGAAGCTGTTCAAGCGGACCTTCCCTGGCGTGTCCATCGAGGCGTCTGACGTCATGCTGCGCAGCTACTCCGGGCAGCTTTCCCAGGTCCAGGGTCGGGCCCAAGTCAGCGTTCGCCTTGGCGACAGGGAGGCAATCCTTCCCCTTTACTTAACCAAGGGGTCGTCGCCGACGCTGCTGGGCCGGAACTGGATTCACTCGCTGGGTGTTCGGCTGCCGGAGTACCAAGAAGCTGCGCTGCACGTGGTGCAAGACGTCCCAAGCCTCCTGACCGACTTCCAGTCCCTGTTCCAGCCAGGGGTGGGCACCTTCGCCGGCACGACTGTCGGCATCCACATACCCGAGGGAGCCCGGCCTCGATTCTTCAAGCCGCGTCCGCTGCCGTTCGCCCTGAAAGACGGGGTCACTCAGGAGCTGCAACGGCTGCAGCGAGAGGGTATCCTGGTGCCCGTCAAGACTTCCGAGTGGGCTGCACCGATCGTTCCAGTCCTCAAGCAAGACGGCCGCGTCAGGATCTGCGGGGACTTCAAGGTCACCATCAACCCCGTCGCTACCGTCGAGAAGTACCCGCTGCCTCGGGTAGAAGATCTCTGGTCGGCTCTGTCCGGGGGACAGAAGTTCACAAAGCTCGACCTTCGAGATGCCTACCAGCAGCTGGTGCTCCAGGATGCCGCCCGGAAGTATGTCACCATTTCAACAACCATGGGACTCTTCCAGTACACGCGCCTACCGTTCGGCGTGGCCTCAGCCCCAGCCATCTTCCAGAGGGAGATGGACAACCTCTTCAGGGGCATGAGGCACGTGGCGGTGTACTTGGACGACATCCTGGTTACCGGTACCGACGACGGGGACCACCTGCAGAACCTGCGCAAAGTCCTGACACTACTACAGGACGCCGGTCTCAAGCTGAGGCTGGACAAGTGCGTGTTCCTGACCCCCAGCGTGGAGTACCTGGGACACATCATCTCCCAGGCTGGCCTGGCCCCGGCACCCCGCAAGGTTGAGGCCGTGCTCAAGGCGCCGAAGCCCAAGAGCAAGAAGGAGCTTCAGAGCTACCTCGGCCTCATCAACTTCTACAGGAGGTTCCTGCCCAACCTGTCGACGCATCTAGAGCCGCTGCATCGCGTGCTCCGTGACGGTCAGCAGTGGGCCTGGAAGAAGGAGCAGGACTTGGCCTTCCAGCGCAGCAAGGAGCTGGTCGTTAAGGCTCCAGTGCTGGTGCACTTCGACCCGGCCAAGCCTGTAGTCCTCACCGTGGATGCGTCGCCGTACGGGGTAGGAGCCGTCCTGTCGCACCGGGGTCAGGATGGTCAGGAACGCCCTGTGGCGTTTGCTTCTCGTCGACTACATGCGGCGGAGCAACGCTACAGCCAGCTCGACAAGGAAGGCTTGGCCCTCCTCTTCGGGGTCCAGCGCTTCCATCAGTACCTGTGGGGCCGGCAGTTCGAGGCAGTCACGGACCACAAGCCGCTGCTGGGGCTGCTGGGACCTGACAAGGCGGTCCCAGTGCAAGCATCGCCTCGTGTGGTACGCTGGGCCTTGACGCTGGCAGCCTACAGGTACAAGCTGGTCTACCGCCCTGGGAAGGACCTGGGACCTGCTGACGCCCTGAGCCGCCTGCCCCTGCCGGAGGTGCCTGCTGCCGTTCCAGAGCCAGCTGACGTTTTCCTGCTGGAGCGGGCCTACCCGGGGGTGCTCACCAGGACTGCGGTGGCACAGGCGACCAGCCGGGACCCGGTCCTGTCTCAGGTGGTCAAGGCGGTTGCCCGAGGGGAGGAGCTGCGTCACCAGGCATACAGCCACAAGACCGCCAAGCTGAGCTTGGAGCAAGGCTGCCTCCTGTGGGGTTCCAGGGTGGTGATTCCACAAAGTCTGCGGGCCAAGGTGCTGCCGTTACTGCACGCGGGGCACCCTGGCATCGAAAAGACCAAGATGGTGGCACGGTCGCACGTTTGGTGGCCTGGCTTGGACCAGGACATCGTGCACCAGGTGCAAGGCTGCCAGGTCTGCCAGGAGAACCAGCGAGCCTCGCGCCATGTGGAAATCACCCCCTGGCCGTTCCCACAGAGGCCGTGGTCCTGCTTGCACGTGGACTATGCGGGACCCTTCAAGGGCCACTACTTCCTGGTGGTAGTGGACGCCTTCTCCAAGTGGGTGGAGGCACTGCCAGTCACCAGTCCCTCGGCAAGCGCGACCATTGCGGCGCTGCGGCAAGTCTTCGCGGCGCAGGGATTGCCGGACATTATTGTGTCCGACAATGGTCCCGCTTTCGCCAGCGCCGAGTACCTGGACTGGCTGCAGAGGAATGGAATCCGCCGGATGCTGGTTCCGCCGTACCACCCCGCTTCCAATGGTGCAGCAGAGCGGGTGGTACAGACCCTCAAGAACAAGCTGAAGAGGAGCCAGCCCGGGGATTTCCGGACGCAGGTCGCCCGGGTACTATTCCAGTACCGGACCACACCTCACGAGGTCACTGGCCGTGCCCCCTGCGAGCTTCTGCTGGGCCGGATGGTCAAGACCCCCCTGGACGTCTTGCATCCAGACCTCCGGTCCACGGCGCTCCTGAAGCAGCTGAAGCAGAAGCTGGCTGCTGATCGAGGGTGCCGTCCCGGGCCTTTGCCGGAGCCGGGAGCGTCGGTGTACGCCAGGAACTTCCGTCCTGGCCCACCCTGGTCTGCCGGGCGTGTGGTTTCACCAGCGAGTGCCTCATCGCTGCTCGTCCGCATGCCCGACGGGACCACCTGGCACCGGCACGCCGACTATGTCAGGCCTCGTTCCGGGACCTGGCTTGCACCCTCGGTCGTCGCTTCAGAGGACCAGCCTGCAGGGGGCCCAACAACAGCACCGGTAGCGGCCGGCGGAGCGCCATCCACCCCGGAGGCGACAAGCGTCGACACTCCTGTGGCACCAGTTGGACCGGTGCCACTCCCAAATCCGGTCACTGCAGCTCCACCGGGTGGAGCGCAACCAAGTCAGGCAGCGCCCGGCGTTGCCACACCTGGCCCGTCGACACCAGTGCCCAGGCGGAGTGCACGGCAGCGGAGGCCACCTGACCGCTACTCGCCTGGGTGATCTTCATCATCGACCGGCCAGGACTTTGCACGACCAGACGCCGAGTTGGTGTCGGCCGTG